CTAAAGAATACTAAAAATCACAACTATCGTTATCAAATGACTTTGAAACAAGTTGCCGTACAAACGGAGCCTGTTGTAAGTCTTTATGTGTTTGATTTAATCTATAAAGAATAGGACAGTCTAGGGAGATACATTCGTTACCATCGTACCTTTTACAGCATGACTGGCAAATCTAAAATTCAATTTTTGAAAAACTACATAGCACTAATCACTAACAGTACATAAGATCACCACACATTTTCGTTTGAAATTTTTGGAAACATTAATCACCTTCAACAGTAGCTACTATATTGATCAATTCTTTACTTGTTACTCAACGAATATTATTATTAAAAAATGATTGTTAATAAATATAAAATTTATAAAACGAATCTTACCAGTAATGTTTCTTGGTAATTCTTTTCCCAATTTCTCAATTTCTCTTGCAAAACAACCATAGTCTCAGTCGGATAACTCAAGCACTTGTCACACAGTCCATTCTGAGCATGCGCACCACAACTAACACAAGTGGTGGTAAAAAAATACTGTGAGATTGTGCTCTTCTTAGGAACCTGCTTGAAAAAAGTAGGAAGATACAGAACCTGCTTTCGTGGCATTTCCTTAAACCTAAAAGTTCAAAAAATTGTTCAAATATTTTAATTATCTAATAATATTTCCTTTTTACCAAATATTAACATCTGCTCCAATTAAATTTAAACACCTATTTAAAGGAGGGATAATGGCGTGGGTAATGTAATATAAAGAGTTTATGCGTAAGTTATTAGATAATAAAAATATAATTAAAAAAAGTTATATGATAAATATTTAGAAAATCGTTGTGCAGTGATATTATAACTGTTTTTATTGCTATTTATTGATATTAGCGATAACTACTAGAATGATGGCGGATACAGAAACAACAGAAGCCACTAGACGTCTTAATGTTAAGAAGCAAACTTTGGATGATGCTTACGCAGCACCCGCTAATTTTCTTGAAATAGACGTGGTCAATCCAGTAACAGCATATGGGGTTGGAAAAAAGAGATTTACGGATTATGAGGTTAAAATGAAAGTAAGCATGTTCACAAATA